ACAAAGCCCGGAGGTCTGAGTCCAGTCGGAACTTGTTTTTTTTGCAAAATGAAAACTTTTGACTTTTTAGGTTTATGTAATTTTGTCGGCTTAGTTCCCATAGAAAGGATTTTTTTTTGATATTTCGGCTTCTTTCTAGCATTCCAAAAGCTCCATGTAAATATTCTAATGGTGCAGATACTTTTGTTCTGGATATTTTAGCCGTTTTGCAATTTTTGTATATTTTTTGAAAGTGTTTTTTTTTTCCAATTTATGATTTTTTTTTCAATTGATTTTAATCATAGTCAATCATTTCAAGTTTGGATCTCTGTGTTAACAATATTTACAAAATTATGTTTATTAGTGCCAATCAATTTACGTTCGCAAGTTTTTGACACGGTTTTTAAAAGACGCAACTTAGGCTCTACTTTTTGCCTAGACTCAACATAGGCTCAAGTATTTCGGGACAATATTTTGTTGAGATTATTTTTGGAAGCTTATTCGGAGAAGAACGTAAGAAGTAGTGTTTAAAACTTTTTTCTGCAAATGGTGCACTGATCTAACACGAGCTCAAAATGCCTACAACTACAGCGATGGGTTACAGAGTTTCTCTTCAGGAATTCAAACCGTTAAGCGCCCAAAGCTGCCCCTTTGGTATTATTATATGCCATCCATTTTTGGCCAGCCATCTCAAAATGATCTCCTAAGGCGCCTTCGAGAACCATCCGAAAACTTCCCAGCACAAAATTTTCAGTTCGTGTTTCAGACATTTGCCTGAGGTTTTTTTTCGTGTTTGAGTAGATCTCGGAAAATAAATTTAATGGATTTAGAAAAGAAATTGATTAGTTTTCGATATTTTGATTAAAAACTTACCCCATCTTCACACGAATCATGCCGCCGCCTCTGTTGAAGTTTATAACGTAACCATCAGTGAGTTTGGAACACGAAAGCAGTTAATCATTCTGGCGTGCTGCTATGAATCTAGTAAAACTCAAACATTGTTGTTGTTATTGTTTTGACGACGTAACGAAGTGACGAGGGGAACTATGGCATAATGTGTTTTTCTTCAGCCAGTTTTTACTAGCTAAAAAAACTTGCGGTGGGTCAAACTCGATTGGACGTAACTCGGATTCAAAAATTTTCGAAAGATGCTTCAGTGACGACAAAAAGTATATTTGCTTTACAAGACGTCACTTGGGGATTTTTCTTTTTAAGGTCAATTAAAAGGTTCAGATATATGCTTTGAAGCATTTTAAAATGTGTTTGCTTATCATTTCATCTTGGAATTAAAAGTTTGGGATTTTTTTGAGGAGAGTTTATCATATTTTTTTTTTGGAAAAATTTGCAGTAAAAACGCTGGCTACTTGCAAAAACTGGCGCCAGCTACTTCAGTAATTTTTCGTTATTTTGTTGCCAAGTAAGTATTGACGACTTAGATGCATATTTGATTCATATTTATACCAACTTACTTCTTTACAGTTTCTTGAAATTTTCATTAGTTCGAAAAGTTAAACAAGACTGCTCGTATCAGGGCGAAGCCCTGAATGTTCCGACTGCCTTTTAAGGTTTATGGAGCAGCAGTAATAACAAAAAAAATTAAATGAAATAAAAAAAAATGAAATTTTTTTTTCTAAAATTTGAGATTTTTTATGAAAATCATCCCCCCACACGCCATATAAAGTATAAGAAGATAGATTTCGTTCCTTGTAACCAATCAATTATGGCAAATAAGCTTCGTTCATCCAATTTGGAACAATTTATAAGACGGAATAAATCTCCGCTTACGCGTTAATAGCGCGAATTATATCGCGCGTTAATTGTCCCAAATTGGTCAAAATGGCAATCTTTAAACCCTCATAACTTTAAGAAAAATGATCACAGGTGAAATATCTTTTCAAATTTAAGCTCAGGACAACAATACCTTTTGAATGATATAAGAAAATTCCGTCAAAAATGGCTAGTTAAAAAGTCGAAATTTGTCTGAAGAAAAAAAACCCACCCCGAGCACAAATATTCCGTTACTTTGGTATCGAAAGTCGGAACAAAAAATAACCCATTCAATTGAGAAAAGTTGTATTATGTTATAACTCCACAATTTTTCTAACTTGCAAATGAAGCTGCTGATTAAATAGCTCTTTTGCTGCATAACATTGGTATTCAAAGAAAATCTTTCTATTGGCTTTTCTCGTAGCTAGTTTTTGCAAACTGTCAAAGTAGTCATAGAATAGATGCGATAAGTGAGTCTCGTAATCCTCAGGTCGAAGGTTCAATTTTGATATCGATCAAACTTTTGTTTTTCAAGGCGTAACTTTCCATTACAAGGCCAAGCTGATTCCGCAACAGTGCAAAATTGGTTTTGTCGAAGAATGCGCGACATCGATATTTTTCTATAATCTTCTCTGTTGTTTTGGATTCTCGAGCAAATAGCTAAAACACCGTATTGCTCAAAATTGCTCCGCAAAGAGCCGATTCTGCGGAATCTGCTACAAATTATGCGGAATCTGAACAGTTTGTGGAATCCACATACAAATAACACAAAAAGTGTATTTTAAAACTAAGTTGTAGCCGAATGAAATCCGCAACTGCAACCGGAATCCGTAAATTTTCAGCGGAACTGTGCGTTTTTTTGCAAAAACCATTAACAATTAAAGTTGTACAACATTATAAAATTCAATCCGTTTTTTTTTGCTGGATAACAGTGAGACATTCGAACAGTTCAATTTCACTTACTGCCAGCCGTTTTATCTTAATTACTGCCTCACTCTTTCAACTGAATTTCCTTTGCTGATAATAAGTCAAAGTTCATCCCAGGTTATTTCAACTTAAACCAGGGCCAACAATCCAATCTCATTAACTGACGCATTTCAGCCCAGACAAAGTCCACCAGCTAAATCTTAAATACTGAAAGAATGAATGCAATTTTGATTTTGGACTTAATTATTACAGTTAAAATTAATTTCAATCGCTTTCTAACTTTCATCCGGAGTTCAAAACAAATTAGGAGATAAAAATTTACAGATTAGGACAAGAACAGTTCGAAATGATTAATTTAAACGCTGATAATGCAAGTTAATTAGGTCAGATTTTGGAAAATGACAGATTAAATAGGTCGAAACTTAGAGATTTAATCACATAAACCTTACAAAGTTACTACCAAATTTCGGTGATACCAAATAAAAATTTTGCTTTTCTGGTGTTTTGATGTGTTTTCTAACTAGTGATTCCCAAAAACAGCTCGCTGCGATACTTATACTAAATCTAAAGGGTACGTACGTCCACGATTCTAGTTAAATAATGATTTAGGATTTGTTCGTGGATTCCGCTGACTCAGCCCTTACTTTTAAGTTCCGCATTTGTTAGATAACAATTCTATCTTCAGCTTTTAATTGTTCAACCGCAAAAACTGGTTTAGTTCAGTTTAATAATCAAAATTTGCGGAAGCCGCTTACACTTGCGGATTCCGCTCACTCATTTTGAGGATTCCTTTTCTGTTTTCGGAATCCGCTTACATTTTGCTGAATTTGCTTATATTTGCGGAGCAACTAGCTATATAAACTTGTTGAGGAATCAGCAACAAACCAATTGTGATGACAAAAATTAGATTACAGGTATTTGTATGCGTAATCTATTTACATTTTGGAACATGTTTAAAGACTTATCTCTGGATTACTGATCTACAGACACCAATTTTTGCGCTTATCTACTGCACAGTTAGGCCTCATATTGTCCTCATTTCACTTCTATCTTATCCAGCTATTTTGGTGTTTTTCACTTGTAGTTGTAAAGTTCAGCTTTTTTTCTGTGTAATATGTTTTTATGTGTCAACGAACATAGTCAAGATACTGATATAGGTCATAATTGTTTGTTCTTTTTTTTGTTTTGTGACTGGAGTTTTGATTTCAGAGAGTTCGGTTCAATTTTTGTTTCTAAAGGGAAAACTGTAAATTTTTCATTAACCAAATTTCAAATGGCGCGAAAAATCTGAAAGATGATCAATTTTCGGCATAAGTTTTTCAATGCTAACTATTATTAACTAATAGCCACAACTGTGATCGCTAAAAAAATACAATAAGCTTGCTTGCTATTTCAGGATTGATTTCAATATTTTCCTTAAGGGTAGTTCGCTGAATTTTAAGCCAGAATTGAAATGTTAAGTCCTTCAACGGATTAAGTGATTTTTTAAATGACTTAAGACTAGTTTTTTGTGTTAATTAAAGCAATTATTGCATGCTAGTAGGCACCCATGCTTATCCCTACGTCCCCAAATGTGTCAATAGCTGCCTCTTATTTGGTATCCTGTGCTTCAAGTTCCAAATATACTTAAAACACAGGAAACATTAAATACCGAATGCTAATCGGCTCGCATGCTGATAGACAGCTTTTTCAAACACTGCTCATCATTTTTCAGTCTTGAAAGCGAAGCCCTGTTCTAACTCCTAGTCGAATAATCTGCAATTTGGAAAGATAAAAACAATTTTTTCCAAAGCAAATTAGTCAGATACATTAAGTTAAGATCCTTCAGACAAAGTTAGGATCCCAGTATTTAATTTGGATTATAATTTCTGAGCGCTGCGTGAAAAAAAAAGTTGTGCCTGACAGGCCAAAAATTCTTTGCCAGAACATCGTCTCCCTAAAGTTCAGTTGAGACCATCTATCCAGAAGGGAAAGAACCTACGTTACCTACGAGCTGTTCAGTTCTTTGCGGAGAACTATTATTGTCCCCCTGGTTAAGAATTACATGCATTCTTTTGGCTGTTTTCTGGGCTGGGTAATGTTGCTTCAACCTCAAGCAACGAGCACGGATCATGGTGGGCCTCGAACATCAGACCTTTCGATTGATAGGCGGAGACGTAACCACTTCACCACCGCTCCCCACAACACATATTTTTGGAAAGGGCGTGTTAACTTGGTCCGGCTAAAATTTTATGCGTGGAAAACCTACAACTAAAATAGCAAAATTTTGCGTTAAAAGTAATATAAAAATTTTTGAACTTTGCTCGAATCCTTATTGCCTAATTTAGGTGGCAACTGTCTACGATTGTTCACTCAACCTCAATCTGCACTCATCAGCAACAAAGATCACCATCCAACAAAGCAAACGTTAGTGACCCCATTTAAAGCTTCCATTGTATTAACAATAAATCTGGGTTGAGAACACGGATTATGGTGGGCCTCGCACCGCGGACCTTTCGACTGAGAGGAGAGCATCGCCACTTCCCGGTCGCTCTTGGCCATTTTCAACCAGATCTCAAGAAATTAAAGTGGCTGCTTTAATATCAGAATAATCACCGCAAATCATCCCAGCTTTGTCGAATTGATAGAAAATAAATGTTTTATCCTTTCTTTTACTTTTCAGAAGATGAGATCTTGAACTTGACTCATCCGAAGTTCGCCATGGTCATCTGTGCCATAGTAGTGTTCCTTCTGGCCTTAGTTGCCGTGGGCGTATTCATCTGTCTCTATCTGAAGTTCGTGAGGGGCGCTAAAGCTGCCCGCAGTCAGTGAAATCAACAACGAAAAAAATGGATGCCAATCAGGTATATTGATGTGATCTACTTAAAAATCTCCCGCCCCTTGCTTATTAATCTCATTATTCTCTCTGCGGGGGGGGGGGGGGGGGGGGTTAGTAGATTTAAATAGTCGACAATTAAGAGCTCTAGTTCTACAAAACAATTAAGAGCTCTAGTTCTATTTACTGTATTTATTTAGTGGATAACAAAGGGGGGGGGGGTCGAGATTGTTAAGTAGATCCATTGATGTTAGAACACCACGGTTTAAAATACACTTGATAGCGCCATATATTGTTTTCACAAAAACTGCTTTTATTAACCATTACAGCATGATGATTTTAATCGCTACTTTTATCATGTCAAAAATTAACGACTGTTGAAAAAATTCAATGTTAGCTGAAATTTTTTTCTTAAAGCTTTGATTGTAATAGTTTTTATTCTATTTACAGACCACAGATGGGAACCCGAAGAGAACTTTTATCATTACAGACATTTTAATTCAAACAAGGTGCGATTAGTTCCAATTCAACAAATGTAAATGCGATTGCTTTCCTAAAATATGTTTTTATTCAATATGTAAATACTTAAATACGTGTAAATATTAGAATAAGAATTATCTTTCTTAAAGGTCAATGATGAGCAAAATGTGAGAAACTTATGAAAAATTGAAAACTTTTTTTATTCATTATCCTTTTCAAAAGTTTAAGTGCTCATCGACGACCCTAGTTGAATCCAATTGTATCGCGAGAGATTATGACTTGAATTTATATTAACCAGCTTTTTTTTTCGGTGGCGTCCCTCACGATGAGTGATCGAACGTTGGAAATTTGTTTTCAATTTTTTTTAGTTAATCAGAATTGAGTATAATCATAATTTTGAAGAAATCGCTAAAATCTCAATTTAAGCAAATAATTTTAGGCCATTAAACTTAATAATTATCGATTATAAAAGATTGCAGGTTCATGGTTTTTCAAGCATTTCTAGATCAAAGAAACTTGGTAATTTTTCTTACAAATACCGATATAAAAAAACTGGATAACAAAAAACTAAATTTATTGAATCTGCACGGACTTGCTCATTTTTTGCTATTTTTTTTTCAGTTCACCGCAAAAACCATTCAGCGAATAGGAACTTCTAGTGATTCTGAGTGGTTGAAAAGTTTCCATTAATCGGTCTTTCCATCATGAGAATAGCTCCCGTTTTTTCTAGGTGGCAACCGACATGATTGAGGGACTGAATGATTTCAATTATTTTCAGCCAATCAGAAATGAGTATTCAAAAATCTCATAAAAGCGAAAATCTCAAAAAAAAAACGAATTCAGGCCATTAAAATTAGCATTGAACGATCAGAAATAAGCACATATATCGATTACTCGCATATTGGAAAAAAAAACTTGAAACTATTTTTAAAAAATAAAAAGACAAAGGAAACAATTTATTCTATAGCTGAACGAGTTGTACCGAAAACTTTGCTGTATTGCTATTATTCATTTTCTGTTTACAATGACTGAGCTTCTGTTCAAAGTTCAGTTAGCCAAGAGGAATGGCCAACTATTCTAATTGGTTTAAATTTTTTCTTCATTCAATCCCTCCATCATCAGAATACCCCCCTTTCTCTTAATCAAATAAAAGCAGAATACCGACAGTTACTGAAATCAAAATTCGAGGAATGATAGAAGGAGATCTACTGCAAGTGAAAACAAGGACTGTGACTATAAGCTAGGTGTCGGTGGTTCAGGAATTTGCCGTCGGTTCGATTCGGTGATTAAATTTTTGGCTCGGATCTCGGCTTGTTTCGGCTACTGGAAAAAATTTCGAAAACAGGAAAAATACAACAAAATGTGAAATCTGTGGCACAATCTCAATTTTAGCAAAATTGCCTGTCACAAAAAATCAAACGTAAAAATCGTATTCCTGTAATCGTGGAAAAGTTAATTTATTGACTAAGCGCAATTTTGGGATCTCTTTAACTATATCCCTCTATACAGAAATAAATCAACTGTTAAGCCAGGGGCGGATCTAGGTTTTTCCTGAGGGGGGGGGGGGCGTTTTGAGAAAAGTTTTGTCAAAAACAATGATTTATTTACAATAAGAAAATGAACAAAATTAAACAAAATTGAGTCTTCGATTTTTTGTGGCATCTCCTTAACTATATCCCTCTATACAGAAATAAATCAACTGTTAAGCCAGGGGCGGATATAGGTTTTTCCTGAGGGGGGGGGCGTTTTGAGAAAAGTTTTGACGAAAACAATGATTTACTGAAATCAAAATTCGAGGAATGATAGAAGGAGATCTATTTTTTTCGGTTCACCGCAAAAACCATTCAGCGAATAGGAACTTCTATTGATTCTGAGTGGTTGAAAAGTTTCCATTAATCGTTCTTTCCGTTTTTTCTAGGTGGCAACCGACATGATTGAGGGACTGAATGATTTCAATTATTTTCAGCCAATCAGAATTGAGTATTCAAAAATCTCATAAAAGCAAAAATCTCAAAAAAAAACGAATTCAGGCCATTAAAATTAGCATTGAACGATCAGAAATAAGCACATATATCGAATACTCGCATATTGGAAAAAAAAACTTGAAACTATTTTTAAAAAATAAAAAGACAAAGGAAACAATTTATTCTATAGCTGAACGAGTTGTACCGAAAACTTTGCTGTATTGCTATTATTCATTTTCTGTTTACAATGACTGAGCTTCTGTTCAAAGTTCAGTTAGCCAAGAGGAATGGCCAACTATTCTAATTGGTTTAAATTTTTTCTTCATTCAATCCCTCCATCATCAGAATACCCCCTTTCTCTTGATCAAATAAAAGCAGAATACCGACAGTTACTGAAATCAAAATTCGAGGAATGATAGAAGGAGATCTACTGCAAGTGAAAACAAGGACTGTGACTATAAGCTAGGTGTCGGTGGTTCAGGAATTTGCCGTCGGTTCGATTCGGTGATTAAATTTTTGGTTCGGATCTCGGCTTGTTTCGGCTACTGGAAAAAATTTCGAAAACAGGAAAAATACAACAAAATGTGAAATCTGTGGCACAATCTCAATTTTAGCAAAATTGCCTGTCACAAAAAATCAAACGTAAAAATCGTATTCCTGTAATCGTGGAAAAGTTAATTTATTGACTAAGCGCAATTTTGGGATCTCTTTAATTATATCTCTCTATACAGAAATAAATCAACTGTTAAGCCAGGGGCGGATCTAGGTTTTTCCTGAGGGGGGGGGGGGCGTTTTGAGAAAAGTTTTGACAAAAACAATGATTTATTTACAATAAGAAAATGAACAAAATTAAACAAAATTGAGTCTTCGATTTTTTGTGGCATCTCCTTAACTATATCCCTCTATACAGAAATAAATCAACTGTTAAGCCAGGGGCGGATATAAGTTTTTTCTGAGGGGGGGGGGCGTTTTGAGAAAAGTTTTGACGAAAACAATGATTTACTGAAATCAAAATTCGAGGAATGATAGAAGGAGATCTATTTTTTTCGGTTCACCGCAAAAACCATTCAGCGAATAGGAATTTCTATTGATTCTGAGTGGTTGAAAAGTTTCTATTAATCGGTCTTTACGTTTTTTCTAGGTGGCAATCGACATGATTGAGGGACTGAATGATTTCAATTATTTTCAGCCAACCAGAAATGAGTATTCAAAAATCTCATAAAAGCAAAAATCTCAAAAAAAAACGAATTCAGGCCATTTTCTCCATTCCTTTCGCAACTGCGCGATCCAGTTTCACATCGATCCAGTTTCACATCGAGCTTGCACACTTGGGCACAAGTCGATGACCTCTTCGACATTGATTTCTACATCTTTGGATGTAAATTAGTGCCAAATTTGAGAGTTGGTCCTCCTTCATGTTGGAGCGGATAACTTTTTAGTAGTTTCATGCTCGAAAAAGAGCGCTCAGCAGTGCATACAGTCACTGGGAGGGTATCACCAATTGGAGCAAAGTAAAAATTACTGGCATTGTGGCTTTGTGACACACTCTGAGTGAAGCTGTGAAGGTTTCTGGGGTATCGGTGTACAGGGGGAAGCGCAACATGTTTTTCCAAACTTCGAACTCGCTGGGGAAGTCACCATCTGGAAGTACTCCTTCGTATAACTGGACCAGATCATTAAAATCTTCCTCCTTTGCATCCTTCTCACTTATCCAATGGGGTAGCAATTTGCACACTTGGGCACAAGAAGAAGCTGCTCCAACGAAGCGTTCATTGAGATCCATCAGGACAATGTCAAGAAAAGGCAAGTAAACGGTCTGTCTGAAGTGATCATAAGCCGATGATGCTACAGGAGGTCTGCGTATTCTACCTTATATTTGAATATTGCCCAGTTTTGCGGCGTCAGAATGGACTTCAAATGCGTCAAAATGGACTCCAAATGCTGAGCCAGTACTTGATCTCCACTTGCTGCTCTGAACTGGAGAAGGGCCTTGAAGTTTCCAGATCTGACGTCGATTTGCTCAGAGTTAGTTGGAACCACAGGTACCCCGTCATCTCGGTGGCCACGGAAAGGCAATCCCAGGCGGGCAGTGAAAACAGTTGTGCTGACTATTGGAGCCAAAAACTTCCTGTTTTTCTCCATTCCTTTCGCAACTGCGCGATCCAGTTTCACATTGATGTTCCTGTTTGGGTTTTTGACAGAATCAAGAAAGGCCTGCACTTTCTCCAGTGATTTCTTGTGATGGTTTGTTTTATTATGTGGATCCAAGTAGTTTGAGAGGCGTGCAAACTTCTTGAACGGCTTGTTGACCAGCTGAATCTCTGCTGAGCCCCCCGCTTTCTTTATCTCTTCCAGGTCGGCCAAGCAGAAGCGACGGTAGAGTCCATCTTGGATCATGGAGTAGGTCAGGAATTGGTCTCTTTCTAGGTACTGGGGGCCAAGAGTTCGCTTTTCTTGTTTTCCTTATTTCGTCACAAGTTCGTATGGCCAGACTTGCAGTGGGGGTTTGTTGGGGTTGTCCAGCAGTGCAAACTGAATGTCCCTGTCCATGTCCAGTGAGCTGAAGTTGTAGATACCGACGTCAATGTAGGATGGAGAGTGTAGAGCTTGCTCAGAGAGCGAAGATATAGAACTAATTGATGAAAGAGATTCATCTTTAATGGTTGCTAAAGGAGCCAATGGCTCAAAGAGCCTGGAAGGTCCAGTTATGGCCGTCTCAGGAGTGGATGATCCAAGGTTGTCAGGCTCAGGAGTGGTTGCAATGGATGAATGTGGTGACTCCTTGGGTCCACTGGTGAAGAAAGCCTTGAGCGTCTTGAAGCCAGAAGCCTTGGAGTCCTTGGGAGCAGTCCGCTTTGACATCTGGAAGGTTGAAGTTGAAGTCCAGGGTCCAATCCAGAGTGCAGTGTGAAGTCCAGCGAAGAAGATTTTAGAATGAGCTAGGTAGTTTTGAAAGGGGTATATATACTGCGAATGAGGCAGGCTGACAGGTACCTGTTAGCAGGTACCTGCTTCGAGTCAAAAATGAGTCCAATTTGAGGCCTCAAAAAAGACGCATTTTCACACCTTGAATTTTCACACCTCAAAATTTTCTTTGATATAAAGGCCAAAGGCGCCCTTTGAAAAAAAATTAAGTAAATTGTTCAAAGAGGGGACCCTTTGGTATTTGTTAGGGTCAAATTGCTGAGGGAGAAGACGTCTGCCCCCCCCCGCACCCCCCTAAACCCGCCCCT